CTGGTTCTGATCCAGGCTTCTGCCTGTTCAACATGAGTCTGGTTCTGATCCAGGCTTCTGCAATTTTTTTATCTTCCCATTGTTACTTTGCTAAATGTTTGTCTGCTGATGGATGAATTTTGTGTTTCTGTAAATATAATAAAGAGTAAAGTTGCAGAGCGGCTGTTTTTGTAGAAACATTTATTATGAATTGGTGCTGAACAAATAAAGATTGATTGACTGAATGATGATTACCTCCAAATGATAACGAGACATTTGACAGAACCCTGAAAATGTAAAGCAGATTTAGAAACATGTATTTCTTATCCTCCCAACATGTGGTGTGATGTTTCCTCATAAACAAAGCGCTCATGGACTTACAGAAAGAACAACGCAGGAGACCGGTAAGCCTGAATGTTACAGTCCTTTAATCCAAGGAGGTTTGACAAATACATTTTATTATGAATTATAGAATATCATTTGCATACACATACCAATACAGTCACAACCTGAGTGATAGAATATTCATAGCACCTCCTTAAGTTATCTAAGTGTAGATATTTGGAGGTAATCAGCATTTTCTTAAGCTTTAAACAAACTAAAATCAGCTAAATCAAATGTAGCCAAACAGACCTTTTCACTCACTAATTCAAACCAAAATCCTTCACAGCCAGCACACATCCTTTTCCTCTGCGCTACTTTTGCATCCTTCACTGCACCACGGTATCTTTCCTCATGGTGAAGACCACAGCAGAGTAAACTTTAGTCTCCTCATCAATCTGGGCAAAGATAGACATGAACAGTTAAACGGACAAAAACATAAGGACAACATGAAACATCTTTAAATGATTACCTGTTGATTTTTCACCCTCTCGCTGTTTAATTGCAGGACGACAGCAGCTGGATAATGAAACAGAAAATACATGCAGAGTTAAAATGAAAGATGAAGAAGGTTTGATGATTTTTTGCTGCTTAGAGAACGAGTTCGTCTCATTACTTGAGCCAACAACCACAGCTGTTAGGAAGATTATAACCCGGCAGAAAAGTGTCTTCCTCCTTCTGAGAACACGTTGTTACATGAAATTGTATAATGCTTTTAGAACGGGTCATCGTCACTAACCTTTAGATTGTTCACTTTCTTCTCTCGGAGTTTGGAAGCAAATGAGAGAAACATTTCCAATCAGAGAAATCACCAAGCAGAGTATCGCTATGACCAGCCCGATCAATTCAAAACTTGCTGTTCGTTCTAGACAAGAATGAAAATAAAAAAGAATGATTTAATTATTAATATAATGTGATTACAGTTCAGGTTCAGGTGCGTTATTTGTACCCTTAAGTAGGTTTGTTTGCAGCCAGCAAGATAACACACAGATTACAAACAGATGTAACAATGAACAACACATTAGAGAAAGGGGAACTATATATAAACCGACTAAAAACATCATAAAAACCCCAAATAATTGTAAAAGTGCTCAATGTTCTCACAATAAGAAGCATAAGGGAGAGAGATATCTCAACCAATAATATCAAAAACAAAAATGATCTCTTCAGGCAGGGTAAAAATAAGTTTTTGACGTGAAAAAAAAATGTTTTTGCAAATATGGCTACAGCTTGTTCACTTCTGTGATAGCAGCAGGAACAAAGCTGTTTTTGTACCGCTGTGTTCTGCACATTGGGACTAAAATCCTCCGTCCGGGGAGAAGCTGAAAATCACTGAGCAAAGGACGAGAATCATCGTTTATAATTGAGGTAGCTATCCTCTGCAACTGTCTCAGAGACGCCAGGTAGAGCTGAGACTCACCAATCAGACTCACCCCACATACCTCAGAACGGAGGTACAGAGCACTGAGGTGCAGGTTTGACTGAAACCATGACACCAAAGAACAAGACAAGACTGATCCAATAACAGCATGATAAAACATCATCATTATGGTTCATGAAAGTACGACAGTTTCCTACAGACACAAACACTGTTTAGACTTTTTACAAAGCGTTAGCTTCAAAGTTAAAATTCAAATCAATGATGGTCCCAATGTTTTATAAGATTGCACTTACTCAATATTCTGACCTGAATAGTGGCATCGTTCACTTGAGTTTTCTTTCTAAAATCAATAATCATATGTTGAGTTTGAGATATGTTCAGCTGGAGTAAGACTCCTCACACCTGGTACAAACTGGTCATTTACCGGGCCGTGGCTCGTCTCATTCTCTTGAAGCAGACATACAACAACGGAGTCATCGGCATATTTTATAAAGGATGTGTTTTATGATAAATATATGTGTTGAGATCATACCAATCTGCAATGAGACCATCATTTCACACTTTAATCTGCAGATTCTTAGCATAAAAAATGTTTGACCTTCAACATCTACTTTTGTCACATCTCCAAATATGTGCAGTTACAGAAACAGAGCTATTACGGCCATCTGATTGTCGGCTCCTGAAAACATATAAAAACTTATTGTGTTAAGATGTTACACTAAAATCTTCCAGGTGGATTCAACTGTTTGAAAATGAATGTTAAAAAATGATTCATATTGAATGCTGTGCAGTTACCTTTGATGTCAATCTTTGTCCCATTTCCAAACAATATCTCTCCACATGCGGCCACAGCACAGAAATAAGTCGAGGCGTCGGAGGAGTTGACGGTCTTTGAGAAGCTGTAGACACATTTCTGTGGAGAGTGAGTCTCTGGACTCTCCTCACATCCTCCAGATCTGTTTCCATGAGTGTAAATGACACTGGGATGATTTTCATCTGATCCGGCTCTGAACCAGAACACTCTGTGTTTCCCTGGACATGTGTTGTTTTCAGACTCAGAGAGAACAGAACACTGCAGAGTCATCAGGTCTCCTGGGTGGACTGGATCCTGTGAAATGTCTTGAACGACTGAGGTGATACTGGGCTCTGGTCCTGAATAAATTCAACACAAAGTAAATATGCTGGATTTGATAAAAATATTCAAAGTAGCTGCAGTTTAGAATTAAGAGAAAAACATCCTAGAAAGTATGCTGTATGTTTTTTCCTTATTCAGGGGGACATTTGGTTGACTGCTCTCATAAATGGTGTTAGGTATTATTTTAAAGAAGTTGAAGTGCATTTTATTTACCTTTAATCTGCAGAAATGTTCCTTTTAAAACTGTCATTTTAATACTCTCTCGTTTCACACAAAAGTAAAGTCCAGTGTCCTGAGTTTTACTCCATTAATAATCACACAAACGTTCCAGGCTCTTTTTTTGCTGTGAATCAGGAGTTTCTTCAACAAGGTCAGAATCAATGGCATTGGTTCCTCCAAAACCTCAGGCAAATCACCAGAAACGAGCCGGAGCCAGAATAATTGTGTTGAAATACCAAGAAGCATCACGAGGACACGTCAGAGTCACATCATCTCCAACACCAACAGTCTTTGTCTCAAAGTTCTCATAGATGGTGCATCCTGAAGAAAATAAATATATGTCAGTGTTTAACAACAGAGAAAGATCATGTATGCTCTGTGCTAAAAATAAAACATATTAACCCTTAAAAGATCAGAATTAGACGAGAAGATTGGACATAAACTTACGAGCAAGTGTGAGCGTCAGTAGAAAAACAAGAACAGACTTCATTTTCTCCTTCGTCCACTTAATACAGCAGTAGAATGAACTCGTATGAGAAGCTGCTTCTCCTTCATAGAACCATATAAAGTAGGAGGGAACAATCACAGGGCAATCTGATTGGCCCTTCATTATGAGGGTATTACTTTACAACCACAGGGAAATTTTTTTGACCGTCTTTCAAGCTAAAGCACATGAAACAATAGAAGCAGCAAGCTTCTGTTTCAAGTTTTCATGGTGGGTTTCTGTACCTGCTGCTGAGTGGAAAACAACTAACTACAGTTTTCTTCATTTTTTTCCACTCTGTATAAAAGAAGTGTATGAACACTGAAGCCAACCAGTGAGCACCAATGTTGGCATTTTTGCAAATACTACAATGGTTCTTTGGAACCAGAAGTGACCATATCTGGACCTGGATGTGGATACACATTAGTCCCTTACACACAGACACGCCCACTTCTGTGTTTGTGGTTTATTGTCCCTTTTGGAGTATTCTGTGAGGGTGTGTGGTCTTGATGTGTGTGTGTTTGGAAGTGCTGCGGTACGTTCTGTAGGTTGTGAGGTGTAAGGTAGGTGTAAAGATGGCGGCCTGCTCAGACTCTGCGGCCTGGAGCTCTCCATTAGATACCACCTGGATTTCCTCTCATCGTAAGGATTAAACATCACGCTTTGTACCATCGGGGTCTGGCCTGAGGGAGCAATGCCCAGGCTACAGGACTGCTTCGATGAGACAGACTGGTACATCTTCAAACAAACTGCCACCAACAACAACCACACAGACTTAAATGGTAAATGGACTTGAGCTTATATAACGCTTTTTCTAGTCTTCCAACTACTCAAAGCGCTTTTACACCACATGCACACCTACACATTCACACCCTTTACACACTGATGGTAGTGATGATCATATGTAGTATCATCCATCAGAAGTAACTAATCCCATTCAAACACCGCCACCGAAGCAGCGGGAGCAATTCGGGGTTAAGTGGCCCAGGACACCATCGGACATGTTGCCCAGCTGGGATCGACCCTCAACCTTCGGTTGAGAGGCGACGACTCTACCAACTGATCCACAGCCGCCTTAAACACCTTTACCTTACCTCTGCTGCACTCAGCACCTTCTGCATGGGCAATATAACCACAGAGATGAACATACATGCACTCCCCAACCACAAACTGTGGATGAATCAGCTATGGTTAACCTGTTGAAGCTTGTGAAACTGCTTTCCGCACAGGTGGCCTACAGTACAGCGGGTCCAGACTGAGGAAAGGCATCAGACAAGCGAAGCGCTGCTACAAAATGCGTATAGAGGAGCTTGACTCCTGACGCATGTGGCATGGCATCAAGACCATAACAGGCTATGCAGGCAACAACAGCAGCCCAACACACACTGCCAACTCATCTCTCCCTGAGACCTGAACCACGTCTTTGCCAGTTTGATTGTAGAGGACAATCTCAACAACCCATCACTGACACTGCAGGGACATGCCAGTGGGCTGATGCTGAGCCCTACTAGGTGAGACCGCCTCAGAACAACTTCATCCAAACAAAGCCACTGATCGGTTACAGGAAGGGCCCTGAAACACTGCGCAGGACAGCCAACAGCAGTGTTCACCAACCTATTTAACATCTCCCTGAAGCAGGCAACAGTCCCAACCTGCCTCAAGTTGCCACAATTCCTCCAGTGCTAAAACAGACAGCAATCAGGTCACTGAGTCATTGACCACTGGCGCTGACACCGGTTGTGATGAAGTTCTTTGAACGCCTTGTCTGTACACATCAAGAGCAACATGCCACTCTCCTTGGACAAACACCCACAACACAACTGAGGACGCAGTGTCACTGGTCCTCCCCACTGCACAGACACACTTTGATCAGCGGGATGCTGTTCATTCACTTCAGTTCAGCTCCGCTTTCAACCTAAACACCCCCCCACAACCTGGCCACAAACTGATCCCGCTGGGCATTAACACTCCTGTGCAGCTGGATCAATGTTTTCCTCACTGACAGGCCACAGACTGTGTCTATGGTAAAGATGCACCTAGGTCTGTACTGAGCCCTCTACTGTTCTCCCTCTACACACACGACTGCAGACCCTCCCACAAGATACCTGTTCCTTAAGTTTGCAGACGACACCATCCTAGTTGGCTGAAACACCAACAACAATAAGTCAGCCTACAGAACAGAGGTTGAGAACTGGGAGCCGAGACAACAACCTGATCCTCAATGCGGTGAAGATGAAGGAGATTGTCCTCGACTTCAGGAGGCTGAAGCCAACATTAACGGCAAGACAGTGGCGGTCGTGCACAGCTTCAAATACCTAAGTGCCCACGTCAGCCAGGACGCGACTTGGTCCATCAACACCTCAGCGATGGCCAAAAAAGCTCTTCAGAGTCTCACTTCCTGACATGCCTGAAGAAGGTGTGACTTCCAAATCAGCTGCTGGTGAACTTCTACATGTCAGACATAAAGAAGATAAAAAAGATCCAAACGATAACACGGGGGCATTAGCTTTAAATTCAAAATAAACAATACCAGACCACGCTGATAGGAATCAGCTCGCCTAGGCCACTTCCTACGCCTGCCGTCCGGTCTACACAGCACCTGACCCCATGCCAATCCCTGAAGGTGGTGCGCCCACAGGGTGGCAGCTCCATGTTGTTTCTTCGGGTTGAACCCGATTGGGCCCCATGTAGGAAAGCCTGGCCACTAGACGCTTGCCGTCAGGCCCCCCAGGTCTGGCTCCAGTGAGGTGGCCCAGTCTCTCACTTCCAAGGATCTGTGTTCCCCTTCTGTTGCTTCTTGGAGGTTTCTGAATCACTCTTTGTTTGGATCTCACCTGGGACCTATGTGCCTTAGGAGACCCTAACAGGGGGTAATGCCCCCCAACAACACAATTCCAGGTTCACAGGGACATGCAAACCCCTTCACCACCATAAGGTGGCCATTCATTTGGGCTCAGCAGGATTGTGGGCCGGACCGTCGTGGTGAAGAGGGAACTACGCTGGAAGATTAAACCTACGATTAACCGGTCGATCTTCGCTCCAACCCTCAGCTGTGGTCATGAACTTCAGGAAGGAGAAACTTTTCATCCAGTCAAAATGTGTTACAGTTTTACACTCTTCCTCCCCCTCTCATTCTCATTCTCACCCTCCCTCTTCCTCTCTCTGCAACCTCTTCCCTTGTTGTTGTAAAAAAAAAAGGTGCTCACTTGTGGTCTTTTCATAGTGCTTACTTCCTGATCGAAGTGATAACAATTAACCATTGAGGTGTTTGGCTAATTAGCTCATGTCGTGTCATTTTGAATGGCAGTGTTCTGAAATTGCAAACATGTGACTTTATGTCAGATTGTTGTGTCTTATGCAGAGAACCGTGTTCAGTGCATTTAAAAAGTCTCATTTTGAATTGCAAATGTGTGTAAAGCAGAAAAGATGTTTAGACTTCTGGAGACTTGAGAAGAGGTTTTGCTCTGTGTGTCAGTTTACATAATTGTGCTATGCACGTCATTTTGTGTGTTAGCAATTGGAAAAAACTGTAATAACTATATTCCGTCCCCTGTTTTCTTGAGCTGCTGTAATGCACAAATTTCCCCACGGGGGATCAATAAAGTTATCTTTATCTTTATCTTTCTCTGCAAATATTTCTGTGCATGTGAATAATCTGAAGAATTTTCTACAATCGAACTATTTTAGTATTATGGCAAA